TGGTCTTGATACTGACAATTGGGAGGTTTATCGATCCCGTTCAATGACCAAGCGTGATGGTTTGGGGCCCTCCCAGTCTGCCATCCGTGTCCAGCCACCTTTGATCAACAAAACACCTTCTCTTAATTCAAAATTTTTACCTCAAGGAAGTGGTGGCATAATAGCTGGGAAAACAAGTGCCTTGTTGCAGGGAGCTGGTGGTCCTCCTACCAGAACTAATTTGATTGCAGGAGTTGAACCTCTTACTCAAAACCCCAAACCTATAGTTCCGGCTGCATCTGCAATTCCTTTGGAGAAGCCTCTGGCTCCTGCAACTGTATCAGATTCTGCTAAGCCTCTGGCTCCTGCAACGGTGTCAAATTCTGCTGTTCTTCATAGGAAAACTGTTTCTCTGCTGGAGGAATATTTCAGTGTTCGGATTCTCGATGAAGCACTTCAATGTGTGGAGGAGCTGAAAGCCCCAGCTTACCATCCAGAGGTTGTTAAGGAAGCTATTGCCGTTGCTCTGGAAAAGATCCCACCATGTGTGGAACCCGTTATAAAGCTTCTTGAGTTCTTGTTCAATAAAAAAGTTGTGACATCTGTTGATATAGGAACTGGGTGCCTTCTTTATGGGTCAATGTTGGATGATATCGGCATTGATTTGCCAAAGGCACCAACTAATTTTGGTGATGTTATTGGGAAGTTGGCTCTGGCAGGTGTGTTGGACTTCAAGGTTGTGACACAAATCCTGAAGAAGGTGGAAGATGACATGTTCCGGACAGCCATCTTTGGTGCTGCTAAGAAGAGCATTACGTCCAGCCCTTCTGGGCAAGAATTTTTGGCAAACCAGGAAACTGAGGTCCAGGCTTGTGAGACTTTGCTTTCCTGATTCATGCTAGTTTTAGTTATCAGAGGAAAGCTATCTGGCTTTTGGCCGCAGGGGGAAAGAGCAGTAGGCCTTATATTTTCCCCCATATTTTTGAAAGTTATTTAACGGAGGATAATTTTATTCAGTTGTATATTTTTCTTTTTGGGGATTTTAGTTTAGTTTTGATGAAGCTGAGAAACATGATGTCTTGTATTTCTCTCGAGCCTGGGTTAAATTCTTCCCAGGAACAATCGAGATGAACAGGATCTTGCATGATCCTTTTGTTACATTAGTTTTGCAATCTTGTACTATTAATCTGGAATTTGTACTTGGCCGGTATGTGGTCTTAAATTTTCTCTATGGATATTGTTTATCACTTTGTCTTTTAGCTTTAATAAATCTTCACCTTATGTTTTGCTTTCATCTTCTTCCTTCGCTTTGGCGCGTAAACCCTTGGTGAGTTTATGACGTTGTACTTTGTAAAGTCCGTCTTTTTAATGGAGTTTCTAGTTTCTCTCAATTGAGATGGCTCCTGTGACCTGCAACTCCACTTGTCTCTCACCTTCGCATGATCTGCAAAGATGGAATAAAATTATAAAGGCTCAAGTGCTTAAGGGAAATGCAGAGCATGCAATTCAATCATACACGGACGTGCAAAGACTTGGTTTCTGTGCTGATAACTACACATTTCCCATTTTGCTCAAAGCAGCAGGCAATGCTTCTTATTTGCGTATTGGGGTAACCCTCCACGGCCAGACTGTTAAAGCTGGTTTCTGCGACCATCTTTTCATCCAAACTGCTCTGCTGAAAATGTATTCGTCTCTCGGGCTCCTTGTTAATGCTCGTAAAGTGTTTGATAAAATGCCTGTGAGAGATGTGGTAGCCTGGAACTCCATGTTAGATGTGTATGCTTCTGGTGGCCAGATCGATAATGCAATCGAAATTTTCAATACAATGCCATTGCAGGACCTCTCATCCTTCAATATTATGATCTCAGGGTTTGCAGGCATGGGTAGCGTAACATCTGCCAGAAGTGTGTTTGATGGAATTCCTGAGAAAGACATCGTCTCATGGAACTCGATGATACTGGCATGCATGAACGCTGGAGATGTGGCTGAAGCACATACATTGTTTGGGGCAATGCCAGAAAGAAATGTCATAACTTGGAACACAATGATAATGGGTTATTTGAACAATCAACTTCCCACCAAAGCTATCGATCTCTTCTACAAAATGAAGGCTGGAAACACCAAACCTGATTATCTGACTGTGACTGGTGCTTTATCTGCCTGTGCTCACTTGGGTTCACTTGAAACAGGCATAGAGATACACACATATGCCAAAATGCTTGGGCAGGCCTCAAGTCCCCATGTAGTAACAGCACTGATAGATATGTATGCTAAGTGTGGAAGCATAGCGAGCTCCTTAGAGGTCTTTTATAAGTCCAAAGGTAAGGATATCTACTGTTGGAATGCCATACTTTCAGGTATTGCTCTTCATGGTTTTGGTTCGGCTGCTCTGAAACTCTTCGGCCAAATGAGAGAGAATCGTATAAAACCAGATGATATCACCTTCATTGCTTTGCTAAGTGCATGCAGTCATGCAGGGCTGGTGGAAGAAGGATGCCAGTTGTTTGCTTGCATGGGAAAGCAATTTGGGATCACTCCAAAGGCAGAGCATTATGGGTGCATGGTTGATCTTTTAAGCAAAGCCAGGTTTTTTGACTCTGCGCTTCAACTCATTGAGACGATGTCGTTTGAACCGGGCGAGTCGGTCTTGGGTGCCTTGCTTGGTGCTTGTGTCATTCATCAGGACCTTGAAAATGGGGAGAAAGCTATGAAGCTAATTATGGACAGGGCTTGTTCCTTGAGCGATGGTGAATATATGATGTTTGCTAACTTGTATGCATCCTGCGGTCAATGGGAGGAAGCACAAAGATGGAGAAATATGATGAATGATTCAGGCATTGTTAAGACTGCTGGCTGCAGTGAAATTCAGATCAATGGAAGGGTTCACAAGTTTTTGGCTGGAGAGATTGGCAGAGATTAAGTTTGCCCAAGTGTCGCTTTTTATCTACCAAATCAAGCATAGAGTTTTGATATACAAGCAATATTGAGATAGAAGGAATTCAAACGTATGAACTACTGCTCTTAACCACTTGAGCTATAAGCCCTTTGCGTTTTGTAATTAAAACTGATCTAAGAAATCCAATGCATATTCAAGAATAATTCTATGTCTTGACTTGGGCATTGACTCAGATGAATGCAATACATCATATGTCCTAGGGCCACACCAAATAACTTTGACCCATGCTTTTGAGTAACTTACTGATGGCCCTTTTAGCCCATTAATATTTTACTATTTATAGGTGAATTCAAGTTTACTCAAAGACTACTAGCAGTGACTTCAGCCCAAATATTTCAGGACCACAAGATCCAATTGTGTGCCAGCAGCTTTCAACAATCTGTACCCACCACACCAGGTGAAGAGAGAGAGAGAGAGAGAGAGAGAGAGATCATGTACAACCTACCCCATAGTGGGGTTGCACTCACACCAATAGTAGGTGATTGATATACTAATCAAATGGTTGATGCCTTGGTGGCCATCATTTTGTTAGGAGACAAGTCAATTTTGCTTCTCCCAATCAACCAAAAGATACACCATATTTTTCATTTACTTCTGCACACAACTTTGAGGATTTGATTATCAACCTTTATTCTATACACCATATCCCTTTCAACAATTGTTTAATCAGATTGGGGTTCAATGTATTCTTGGGGGTTTGTCTTTCTTTTTTATTTTTGGTATTTTTTTTTTCCTTTGACCTATAATTTTGAGCACATGAAATGAAGGGGCATGTTGCGGTTGCCCACTGGCTTGCCAGGGAATTTGTTTCCAAATCATATATTCTCCGATATTGTTTCTGATGCACATTCAAAAGGTACGGTCACCGGCACAAAGCTATAAACCAACTTTAACGAAATATTTTTAAAAAGTAAGAAACTTTAATTCCACTTTAAGAGCCCAACTTACCCATTATAGAAGGGAATGTTAATTGACGTTTAAATTACACTTTGATAAAGTTCCTTTGCCTCTAAAAAATAAAAAATAAATCTTGAATTTGGACTCTTCACATTCTATTTTTATTTATTGTCAATTTATAAATTAAGATCATCAATTAGGTTAAATCACGTCTAAGAAAAATATGCCAGAAAACACAACACAAGCATGTATTGTAAACAAAACTTCAAATCGAAATAACTATTATAAGAAGAAAGAACTTGTACATTTAGATTGATGTCAATTAACAGAAAGTAGTCTTCAACCAACCATCCCCTCAATCACAATGTCAAATAAGAGAATTAGCCCCCATTGCATTGATCAAAAACGCTAATTAACAACTGTGAAATTTGAAATTTGAATAAATTTTGATGTAATTGACGTTACGGAGACTCTGTATCGGCACTATTTCTTTCTCTCTGTTTTCTTTTTGGGTAATGAAATAAGTTTTTTGGGTGCTCTTATATAGAACTCTTTCAAAGCCTAAACATGGAATTTTCGTGTTCTTTTGAAATTTGGATTTCTTAAATCCCTAATCATTGCCTTATTTGGGGCCGCTGTGATTTTGTTTCCCTTTTTTCTTTTAGGTCAGTTTCTCTGCATTTTTTTTTTTGGAAAGTAGAATCTGATTGAATTTTGAAAAATACAAAAGGGACATTTTGGAAAAAGCAAAAAGAGAGAGAAAAAATTTAAAAGAAGCAAAAATGGACAAAAATGCCCTTATTTATTTTTAGATTTCCTAAGGAATCCAATACATTTGCATGTCTTTGATTTGAAAGTTGAGTGGTTTTTTTGTCTTTTATGCAAAAGCTTTGGTTTTTTCCAAAAGTGAAATTTTTTTTATGTCTAAAACCTAAAAAACCTAATACACCCACAAAATACCAAATCTGTTAGGATACGTATGCATTCATGTTTTGAGCATGAGAACGGGCAACTGTTTTTTGTTTTGATGCCAGCCAAAAAAATATAATAAAAACTCACTTTGTGGTGGCATGTAGGCTGTAGCCGCTCGCTAATTATATTCCCATTTTCTCTCTTATTTTTTGGGTTTATTTATTTAATTGTTCACTTATTCACACTAGTTCAAAGTACAAACAACAAAGGTAACGTAAATGCATACCAAATCATATCTTCTCCAATCCAATACTGTGATGCACGTTAAAAGGTATTGTCACCGGCACAAAGTAGATCTTATCGTCTATAAACCAACTTTAACGAAACAATTAAAAAAAGGGAGTTTTACTAAAACACCCAAAATGGAGGTTGAAATTATAAAAAAACCCAACACCCAAAACACTTTATAAACACACCCAAAAAGTTGACTTTGGGGTTGATTTTGGGTGTGTTTCTATATTTAAATAGTGTTTGAGTTTTTTTATAAATACATGTCTAGGATTGGGTTTATTTATAAATTTGTATAAAAAAAAAAGTAAGAAACTCTAATTCCACTTTAAGAGCCCAACTTACCCATTATAGAAGGGAATGTTAAGCTACGTTTAAATTACACTTTGATAAAGTTCCCTGCCTCTAAAAAATAAAACAGAAATGTTGAATTTGGACTCTTCACGTTCTGTTTTTGTTTATTGTCAGTTTATAAATTAATATAATTAATTAGGTTAAATCATATCGAAATGTGCAGTCTTGATTCACAAATTGACGACACATTAGACGTGATATGTTTGAAACAAGTCATGACACGTCTATGATAACAGATGGTAACAGGAAGAAGATTGGTGGGAATGGTAGACAGATGGTTTCAATGCCAACTGTTAGCAAACTTAGGTTGGTGGGGGCGGGGCTCTGGGAAAGTTTGAGACTTTGCTGGTTTGAGTTCTTCTTGTGGTGCCCTACTTCACTTTGAAGTTAGTCAACATCTACCTGCTTGTTTTTAGGCAAAACTACGGCCCGTCGCTGAAAGAAATGTTATACGTATTTAAGTGACACACTGACGTTGATATGATACCAAACTCTACCTATGACTTGGATTTTATCTACCCTACTCTCACTGAAGAAAATTTTGAGTGTTGCCCAAATTTGGTAAGGTTCGTACATCATCTGTTAACAAGGGCCGAGGGAGATGTTCTTGTTTCCCAACGTTTTTCTTACTTTGGCAACATTAAAATAAGGGAAAGGAAGTCGTTTCGTTATCTAGGGATGAAGCTATCGGCTCCACCTGGCTCAGAAAATGGAGCATAAAGCGGGTGATTGGCAGATAACGAAATTATTCGTAAGTTTGGTGAATCTTTCTGCTGCCACCTGACTTAGAAATACCTACAAATGGAGCAAGCACGAGTCTTTTCCAAGTTTTTTCATCTTTGTTTCATATCGTGTG